GTCACAAAGTCAGGCCTCCCTGTCCGTTGCATTGCGTAGATGTACCCGGTACATGTAGGGGCCAAGTAGATTACCAGCCCATCTGTAATCTATTCAATTCCTCGGCCTCGTGATAGCGAGCAGGGTACTCGCAAAAATCACCCTCGTCGCTAGTTGGCACGCTGTCTGCCTCATAGTTAGTGTCATATCAGATCAGACCAGAAAAACGCGGATGATAACGGGATGAGAAAACCCCCCCCTTCATGGCTCGGCTTGGGCTCACCTCGCCAGCACCGGATCGGTTAGCATAGATTCCTGTTGGGGCGGGGAACTACACACGATTGCTTACACGTACGCCTATCTGCCCTGCCCCCCTGCCCCCCTGTGTGCTGACGACCAAGTCATTGCTGGTGGATTGCCCCAGTCTCAGATGACTCGCGTTTAGTAAGTTAGTCATAATCCTGCTGGGTTAGCTCATGGACTGATGCGGATGTTAGTGAGTATAAGCCTATGGCGCCACTACGGGAGTCAACTGGAACCAAGAAGTGCCGCCCGGACGAGGAAAACTAAAGGAAAAAGCAATACGAGCATCGACGGAAGCACACCCTACCAGTCGAATACTGCCCCCTCGTACATTTCTTGGTAGCCAATTCCCGATCGAAACGGCCCCCTTGGCATTCACTGGGCTGGCCATAGGCGGTGTCCGTATCTTCTAAATGATTGTGCCTGACTCAGAGTGGTGGCTCAATAGCCTAGTGTGGTATAAGCTCCATAATAATTCGGAGATCCCGGTCGTGCAAACCCCGAAAAAACCCTCCCAGATGACAGACGGGAATTGAAGAGTCGACGGGCAGACCAAAGCCCGCGATTTGCTGGAAGGACTTCCAGACGAAACTCTATCGTGTGCAGACGATGATCTATCGAGTGCGTGCTATAGACACTATCGACTGTTAATCGCTATCTTCGCGTGTATGTCGTACGTATCTAGCCGCTCTTCAAGTGCGATGGGTCTCGGGCTTCCAGGGTCCAAACCATGAATGGCCAAAGTCTAAGTAAGCGTATTAAACGGCCTCTGCTGGTAACAAGCGGGCGGCGATTGTTTGGGCCTGCCTGTTCCATGGGTTCGACCCGCTGCCACTATTCGAGATCCACTGGTGCTAGTCGACTTACAGTTCAAAGCCTCACGGCAGTCCGTGAGCCTGGTTAAAGTAAATATAAGATCTATCCATGTATCACCCGTTGATTCTATCGAGGAAGTGTATCCCGAGCTTGTTCAGTTGGCTACAATCAATAGGAAAGTAGGCAGCCCCTATAGTTCGCTATCAATGACGAACAGACAGCATTGGCGTCAGTCTCTTGGCTCCAGCCTTAGAGAAATCAACTGATCGTCATGAGCTTAATTGGCTCCGATGGCCATGACTGCCATGGTATCATATTAATAATTAATATTGCCGTGGACGGGCGGAAGGAGGGGGAACGGGACGAAGAATGAATCCCGCTGGTCCCTTGTCGGAGACCCATCACTGATGGAGCATTACAGACCGCGATCCAGAAGAATTTCTTGAAGCCGCCACGTGGAGTGAACAAAGGCGTCAATATCACTCAAAACAGCTGATAGAGGCTTGATGAATCGCTCCCTTCTTTGAGTTTACGGCTGGCTGTCATCCAGCAATCGAATCGGTAGAATAGCCGCATCGTAGAGCCACCGAGAATATCGTGGCGTTGGGGGCGTTGTCCTCGTTGTTTCTCCCAAGAAAGATAGCCCAGAAGTACGTCCAATAGCAACGGATGAAGGTATCATGGCCATTGCCAGTGGGAGACCTACTGCCTAAGTAGGTAAGGTGAGTAGGACGATTGTGGTTTGGAGTGAGGCCGATAGCAGACCCTGGGGATAGCTGCTGCTCTGGGCCAGTTTCAGCATGATGCCTGCCGGCCCAGAAGGGAAAAGCCACACTTTTCGGTTGTTGCATCGCTGGTATCCCTTGCTGATAATTTCCGATCTGTGCTGCCTGGTCGGCCGGCTGGTCTGACATTGTTCTTTGTCCCATTTGGCTTTCAATACTTATTTTCTTCTCTTTCTTTTATTCCCTTTCCGTCTCTTCCCTCCGTTGATGCTTTTTTTATTTTTATTTTTATTTTTTTTGCTGGACGACCGACATCATGATCAGTTTGGGGGTCAAGAAGGGGCCGTCAGGGACTTAATTCCAGCAACAATTGTTTGGAGGGCATGGCTCCTACCACCTTGGTACAAGGATTGACGGGATTTCCTTTCCCAGCACCTTGGCGAGAAAAATAAATAAATCAATGAAAAATAAGAACTATATGAATAAAATAGAAAAACAAAAATAAAAATAAGTAACGACAATGTACATAGTAATAGGCATAATTGGAGTCAGTACGAGAGTAGGAATAGATTATGATCATTTTGGGTAGGTACGAAGTAGTAAGTTAGTTCCATCGGTTAGCCCACGACCTAATCAGACCTTCCATCTTACACATACCTACTCCTACCTCCCTTTTCACTGTCGTACAGAATATCCCATAGGTAGACACTGCTTGTTGTATTGGCGTGACCATGCTGTGATCCGCCTCAGCTCTGACTCCTTTGGAGCGCCGTGCAATTGTCTTCGGTCGTGGTTCTATCCAGAATGTTATATGGCGGACAACGTCTCCTCTTCCAGCACCATCGACTTGGGTTGAGTTAATTAGAAGAAAAAGTAATTTGAAAACATGGACGGGCAACTACTTACCACCACTGATTACCCTTACCTAGTGGAAGTACCTAAAAGGAAGGTACCAGGGACGTACGTGTCAAGGTACCTGTCAGTAATTATGACCCGCGAAAGATGGTCGATACAATCCCGATACAGTAGGCGATACTAGCGGTCCGTCGAGGTTTTGCAGCCAGGATGCAGGCAACTAGACCATGTTTAGACTAGTAGATTTCTTCCAAGGCCAGGCTCTCTCTCGGTCGCCGATGATTGGCCGAGTCTATATCCTAACCTTTCAGCGTTCTAAGGCACAAGCGGACAGGGTGGGGATCGGTGTTCCCCTCTTCCCCCAAGCCATCTTGACCGGAAGACGGTTCAGTAGGATGGGAAACCTTGGGTCTTGGGTAACTTTGTCTGGGGGTTGCTAGCTCCAAACTTCCACTCTTTCTCCCCCCCTCCCCTCTCTCTTTCCCTCCAGAACATCGAATCGACAAGCGGGACCCAGATAGCCTTGGCCTGTCAGTCAGTCTAAAAGAGATTTCCTAATTTAAGTGCCACTGCTTGGTGCCCGTATGTATGTAAGTATGTTATGTACCTAGTACTTGGATACCTCATTTGATACCGAGTGTTTCCCTCCTGACCTCCAGGGTAGATTGTAGTAGGTAAACATGGTAAACCCATGTTCAGTAACGATGAGGTAAGAAATACTTAACAAAAAAGAAAATAGAAATAAAAATAAAAACGTTGACTTTTGATTTCTTCTTTTTCTTCTTCGTCTTTCACCTCCACTTTTGCATTGGATGTGGGATTTTTCGTTTCTTATTTTCTTATTTGTTTTTAGTATTATTCTGATTTCCTTTTGTGTCCATGTCGGTCTGGTGAAAGAAAATCCCCCAAGTGGTCCGAAGGAAATACTTCAACATAGTATAACCCGATCTTTCCGGGGTAGGGGTAGGGGTACAGGAAAAAAAAAAAAGTGGCCAAGTCTCAAGCTAGCCCGGCCGGGTTACTGGCCAGAGGGGAGCTCCACCGGCTGGAGGAGACCAAGAGGAGGTTCCAATTTATTATTTGATTACCGCTGGACAGTAGTGAAGGAGCTTAGCAGCCCGTAGTAGCTGCTAGGTACCTACTAGGTAGAGCCAGAACGATGCGGCGTTATAAAAATTACACGGCCTGCTCACGAGAGCCGGAGAGGCAAAACGAGGAAAATAAAAACGAACAAGAGCTTCCATCCCATCGGCCAGTCAGCTAGCTCTTTTTTCTCTTTCCTCTCTTCGTGCAGTAAACTAATCCTCCTCATCTGGCTCGTCGAGTATTTCTTTTCCATCTGCCCCATCTGGAGCAGGTGTTCTTGACTTTCTCGTCTTTTTCTCTCCCCCATCTTCGACCTGTTTTTCTATTTTATTTTCTCCTTCTCCAACAGCCATCATCATCATCCCTTGACTTGGGGTCTGGCTTGCGTACCTGGAAGGAGAACCGCCTGAGACCCGCAGCAGCAGCTGTCTGTGTCTGTCTGCCTCTTGTATCACAGAAACGTTGCAACCTCGCCCGGACCGACCAGTATTATTACTACTGAACTACATCTGAGAAATCCGTTGGGATCGTGCTTTGCACTTTCTCTTCTACATCTCTCCCTCTTTCGCCTCTCCGTCATCGCGTCACTTGTTGATTTTTTTTTTTTTATTTCGCACTGCTGTTCGTCCTTGAATATTATTATTAGATCCATTGCTAGGTACGTCTGGAATACCTCCCTGTCGGCTATGCTGGACCTCCAGGGCCAGCCTCACCTCCATCCATGCACCTTCACTACTGCGCTTCCCCATTTGATCCATCATTCGGTCCTGCGACTTGGCTGCCAATCGACCTGCCTGTCCAGACCTCCAATGATTACTGTCGAGGCTGCATGCCGTCGGACTTAATTTGCAGTGACATTCCTGTTCCCTCCGCTTGTCCAGACCTCCTTCCCTCTTCTTTCTTTTCCCCTCCCACCCGCTCTCCTATTTTCCCTCCACCATAGCTATTCTTACTACTACGGGCCATACTTCCAACCGTTTTCTCCCTCCCCCCCTCTGTCGCCTGTACGATTTCTTGTCGTGTTTGTCTGCTCATACTTTATTGCAAATCTTTTTGTTCTTGTTATCACTTGCTGCTTCTTTTCAGATTTGTTTTCCTGTATTTGCATCTCTTCTTATCTTCCTGGAATCCGTTGTTTGCTCCCTGTGTTCCTATCGCTAGCCGGCCCACTCCCCGCTATCCTTCTTGCGACTCACCTTTCAATAGCTTTTGATTCTGCACTTGCATTTCCTCACCATGGCACCTGGTGGTGGACGAGATTTTAACTGCACCTGGGAGCATTGTAATAAGGTATGAATCTTACCCAGTGTCGCTTTTCACTTTCCACTCTATCGCTTGCTTGAAGGCGTTCTAGTTTCCGTGCTAAAGGCAGTAGTCCTTCAATCGCAAATCAGATCTGTGCAGGCACTATCGGATACACACCAATGAGCGACCGTATCATTGTACGGTCAAGGACTGCAACAAAAGCTTCATCCAACGGAGTGCACTGACAGTGCATTCGCGAACGCATACCGGAGAGAAGCCTCATGTCTGTGACCACAGAGGATGCCACAAGGCTTTTAGTGATGTATGTACAACTAGCTCACCACTTTTTTTATCTGCTAACCACCACAGTCATCGAGTCTTGCTCGTCACCGAAGGATCCATACAGGGAAAAGGCCGTATATCTGCCAAGAGCCAACGTGCGAACGAGCGTAAGCATAGGCCTGGTTCTCGTGCTAATGTCTTTCTAACAACGTGAAGCTTCTGCCGCAAAACGACCTTGACGAAGCACCAACACCGCTCCCACCCCCCAGGATCCATGACCCGACTGCCCTCGGAAGATGCGGTTTCCGAGCACTCATATCAAGGGCCAGTCGCCGTTCCTGTGCCGAATGAACAGTATCTCTTAGCCCAGCAACCCTACTACCCTCATACTCCGACGCCGACTCATGAGTTTTATCCCCACCAGAGCCTACACATAACGCCGGTGCCCATACAAGAACAGCCACCAATCGTGACTCAGCACATCCCTGTCACGTCACCGGTTGACGTACAGCGTGCTCAGCAACACTACATGCAGCTTGTGCAGCAACAGCAGCAGCAGCAGCAGCAACGATACGATCCTGGCCGTCAGGGATATCTGCCACCGGAGTTCCAGCAACCATACCATACCCTACCCACAGCGGAAGGCCCACCGCTGATGGTGACCAGCACTCACAGTGACTACAAGCCGCCGGCCCGCATCCTGAACCAGCCCGAGGGAACGGACTGGGGCTTCCTGGGTGTTGGCTAATGAGCCCACGAGTGCCTTTGCATGATTCGACAGCGAGTGTTTCAGACTAGGAGTTACAATGCGTTTGTGCTTTGAGTGATGCCCTATCATGACTGTCATTTACGAGTCCTTAATTTGGTCAGACGCCTCATCCGCTGCTATTTCTTTATTTTCTTCATCTACGGCATAACGCCTTTTGTGATATTTGCGGACTATGATGTTTTCTTTGGTTGAGTTGCGCCCCTCCTCTGTCAAAAGGCTGCGAAGAGGGTTTATTTTTGTCATATTCTTGATACCTTGGCAAATGATGCAATTTGCTTTTCTATACCAGCATAGCCTATACGTTCGCTTTGGGTCTGAATGACGTGCTGGGCAGCTGCGAGCTGACGGGCACGGATACAGAACATGGGTGTATGTACTTATTTCCGAAGCTTTTAATAATGCCTTCCCCCCTTCGGAGTACTCTTTTCCAGTGACGCTGACGGCGCGCGCGACGTAGGCCGTCGATCAGCACCTACCAGAGAAACAAAGCCGTGCTGACAAGGATGCTATGGACCGAGGAAGTAAGTAGTGGTTGCTTGGCTTGGCTCGGCTCGGAGGGGAAAAAGGGACACATGGGGGCGCCCATTGTTGTCGGGCCATTGTTCTAGGAAGCTACTAGCCTGTCAGGAGCTTCCTTAAGACCCCTACCAACTTACCAAACCAACGTCAGCCAAGGATCGACGGCTGAAACGGTTGGGGGATAGAAAAAGGGAAGGAAGGAAGGGAAGAGGCTCCACACGTCGATGGCGCTTGTAGCAGCAAAGACCAACCAGTCATGGGGTTGAAGTCTATCTAGTTAACCCACGACTGTCGTAGCGCCTGATCGACCCCATCCAGCCGCCCATATGGTTTGGTCTGGGGGGTGGGAAGGAATACACGAGTCACGAAGAGGATGGAGGGAGAGAGGAAGGAGGGGGTGCGGCTAGACAGGGAGCTTTTTGGTAAGGTGCAGGTGGGCCGAACGAGACCACATACACGCACACACCATAGCCCGAAGTAGATAGTCTAAGTCTAAGTCTACCGTAGTTAGGGCGAGAAGTGCGTGTATGAGAGAGAAAGAGAGAGAGAGGGAAAAGCAAAAGACTACGATTGATTCGATGACCTGGCACCTGCGTTTGGTCGCTTTTCGATCGACTGTACATACATGCATGCGCCAAGTTTGGATATTTTTCTTTTCTCTTACCACACGAAAAGGAATGGCTGTGATATCTTTTGGTTTTGTTTGTTTTTTTCTTGGCTATATATACTTACGCGTCCACCAAACTTTTGTTTTTATTTTTATTTATGTGGTGGTATCTGATTCAGATTGACAACAGCAATACTAGTAAATAGAACAATAGGAAAGAAAGAAACAAAGAAAGAAAGAAAAGCGGATCCGATCGGTAAGATAGGATATGATGTCCAACGGGCAGAACCGGACGGAGCTCTCCGACCCGAAACAAACAAGGGTAAGTTAATTAGTTAGGTTAGTTAGGTTAGTTCATTGAATCAATCATATTCTCGGGGATAAAGAATCCGAGAGTTGGTTAGGGGGGAAAGCAGAAGAGAAGAAGACAGAAAAACTGGTTTTTCTGTGTTTTTGTTTGTTGTTGTTGTGTAGTGTGACTGGCACTAAACTAGACTACTAGTAAGTTATCTAGCCCGGGGGGCGGAAGTATGTACTGTATTAGACTAGACTAGACTAGATTTATTACTTAGTTAGTTGGTTAGACTAGGTTCTGGGTGCCCGGATTTGATCAATAACTGGGTTTGGTTAGGGTAAGTTAGTTAGCATAGGTATGGGATGGCGATGGAGACAGAAATGGAGAACGCGGCGATTGACCGACCGGTCGGTCGGGAGTAAGCGCCAGCCAGCCAGATAGACGGAATGGGAATGGAATAGATTGAGTGGAGAAGAGGGAGGAGGAGATATACGATGATGATAGTAGAGATTGATTGTGATTGAAGTTCGAACTTCAAGCTAAGGAATCATCCTTTCGGTTCAATGCCGTTTGTATGGACGGAATGTTTGTACCTGATCGGATTTAGTCCGATATTTATTTAACTATCTATCTATCTCTTAGTTTAGAAAAAAAAACTTGGAAGTTGGAAGTTGGAATTGCTGCAGAAAGTAGGAATGAATGAATCACAGTCAATACGGATATCATTTCCGTGTGACAGGGAAGAAGTTTCGGTCTGGTCTGAGTCTGACATAGATAGATGGACGGGCTGTGATCGACCGTCTGTTGTTTTGTTAGTTTTAATTAGTTCAACTTGGAAATCCACTTAGGTCTATTCCTGCGTGTGTCATCTGGGTGAGATGATGGATCTCGTGTTGGGATGATGAGCAAGAGGGAAAGGAAAGAGTCTAGATGGATGGGCTGTGGGGAAAGATGAGGATGGAAGGAAAGGCTGCGGGGGTTGCCTTGTGGTTTTATTTAATTACTCCGTAGTTTATCCAATTAGTTAGTTAGTCGATTATAAGGTAGTAGGCAGTTTGTTGTGGATGTGGATTAGAATTGGAATAGACATGACAGGATGATATGACATGACTGAGGATAATTGGATCCAATAATAGCTACTATGCTATGAGTTTCAATTGTTATTTCTCACTTTCTCCGTAAGTAGTAACAAATTGATTGTATGTAGTAAGCTAAAGTAGATATAGTATATTGTCTTACGACTGCCGGCTCCACAATCCTTCCTTAGCTACTAGCACTTAATCGAACAATCGGAAATCCAAATCCAAAGTCTAGAGTTAGATACTATGCTAACTACTTAAGTGTCAACTCAACTCATTTCCCAAAATAAGTCTGATTGCCGACGGAACTTAACTCATTCTTTGTTGTGATCGTCAATCCGTCGCCTATCTGGTTACTAATACTATACTAGTATAGTTACTTAGTAACCATTTAGTTAGTGAGTGTAACAGTAGGGTATGACTTACCTAGCTGTTCTACTTTAACATTAGAAAAGATAAAGATAGTCTGGATAGGTAATAAGTCTAGGTTTGGTTTGGTGATATCACTTTTCCTCAATCCCTGCAGTGCAGTGCACTGCACTTCGCTTAGAGATGGAAATGACATGGATGAGATGAGATGAGATGAGATGGTTGATACATACTTACATACGTGTAATATAACATACGTGATACATTACACATTACTTGTATTTGTAAAGTATATGTATGTGTGTATGTATGGTAATATACATATAAATAAATACTACTTATCACTACTTACTGACTTATCTATGGGATGATGATGATGATGACAGCCCAAGAAAGTAAAATCAATGCGACAGGAATACAAGTAAATGTGATGATGATGTGATGGGGTTGCTTTTCCTTATCGATCTACCAATCATGGTGTTGATCAAACAGTAAGTAGTAGCAGCTTGTCGGGGAAATATCGGATCGTTCATATGCTGGTAGTGGTGGTGGTGGCACACCATACCACTCACACGGCTGGCATAAGCAATCAAGCCACCACCACCACTACCATCATTACCACTACCATCATTGCTTATGGATTGGGTTGGGCTGTGGTGGTGGTAGTGGATAAATATTTATACCTGACAAGTAAAGTATATGATGTGGTAGAATACAAAAGTATACCCTAAAATCATATGGAAAGAAAGAAAGTAGAATAAGAATACCATCCATAAAAACCTCATACATTCATCAAAAGTACTAGCATACTAGCATATACCCCACAGCCTCCTCCAAAGTTATCAGTCACCCCATAGTACCCACCTACCCACCCACCCACCGACAGACAGACAGACAGACAGACAGACCAAAATTGAGACAACCACTCAAACACATCCATCCAGCCTAATACACGAACCAACCAATCCCAGAGTAGCACAGCGCAATCAACAAGGATATAGATAGATTGTACACGTAGCGACCATACAATACTTATACAGTTATACCTACTTCTGTCTACACAATTAGTTCATAGTTTGATTGATTGATTGTCATATAATACTGGATCATTATAAGATACCACGCCATCAATCAATCAATCAGTGTCATATGTTGGGTAGAATTTCCACTGGACATGGGGGACAAAAGTACCTTGCATGAGGATGCTTGCATGGGGTAGACTACTAGTGTTGGCTGACATGGTTGTGGGGGTGTGCTGTATCTTTTCTTTTCTTTTTCGTGGGTGCTCATATTTGGGAAGTACTCCGTACTTCGTTGTCGGTGAGTGTACTGCTGTCTACTAAGGGGATGGTGGTGTGTTTCAGGTGCTTGTGTGAGGGAGTATATCTACCTATCAGATCCTAGGTCAATTTTACTGGGTAGTGGTAGGGTAGGGATACTTGTGTGTAGGTATAAGGGTAGCAGTCAGCTAAGTACTAGGATGTCGTTGTCAGTGTCAATCAATCCAATACACATAGTGTTTCGAATTAAGATCATTATGCTCAGCTGGTCTCATGATCAACTCACCTGATCACTCGGAATTCATCTCTTCTCGGTATCGAGCAGCTACACACATCCCTGTAGTGGCTATTCCATAACATATTGTCTATATGCATACCTATCCATTCTATACCTATACCTATAGCAACTGCATAACTACCCAATGCATGCCATCGGATCACCGGCGCGGCACAATGCGACAGACACATAGATAGCTTACTGTTCCACAACCCCCTCTAAACGCCATGGCAATCCCACGCCACGGGGTAAGCTCCTCATGATCATGGAAGAGTCGTATTCAGTACCTGGCTGTGTTACCTTGTGTGAGTGTTGTATATTCTCCGATTAGGGTGATTGATAAGGGGCTGTTGGTCCGAGGCCGAGGCTGAAGTGGAAGCGTTGAACGGTCTGGGGTATCCTGCTCTGAGTATCTGGTGTGAGTAGTTTGTAGGGCAGTGTATATATACTGCTGCTATACTTGCCGTGCATCGTTCCTTATAGTGTATGTAGTGTATGTATGTATTTATCAGTTCAATCTCGATCTCAACGCATATCATGAGCGGGTCAACACCATAGAAAATGTAGCGAAAGTAAGCTTACAATTCTCCTCTCACAACCAAGCCCTCATCACTCATCCTATCCATATACCGGCCTCATCTCGAAGTCTAGATGCTCAGCTGCCAACTTATCTGGACAGTAGAAGTATGTCCTGTACCACGTCGGAATGTATCCATCAAGGACAAAGACAACTCGAGACCTGAATCTCGAGCATAAAAGCACCTAGATCTCCTGTTCCCTTGAGTATCGACATCAGCATCACTACCACTTTCCTCAAGCATAGCAATTCAACGAATCAGTGACAAAATGCGTTTCACCATCCCTCTTACCCTCTTTTTCGCCGCCCTGGCTATTGCTGCTCCGGCTGCGGAGGCAGACAATGATGTCGACGCTGCAGTGTCTGAGGACCCTGGTCTGGCTGATGCGCAGCGTTGTCGGCCAGGATATAGACAGTGCATGGATGTGTGTCTCCTTTTCTTTATCTTTCTATCTCCTTCAACTATGAGGTCTTGACAAGACGGGTTAGCTAACGAAGTGTAGAACTGCAACCGTCACCACGGAGGTGAACGTTGCTTCCGGGTAACTCCAACTTCTTTGTCGTCTCAGTAACAAACCTTCTAACAACATGTAGGCTTGCCGGGCTCACTACTGCTAGTGACTTGCCCCATACACACCTGATTGATCGTCGGGTAGTCTCAAGACACAGTGATTGATTTGATATTGTGCTCGTTCCGTTGACGTCAACGCAAGCTATTGTCCTTCTTTAACTAAATCGAGCTGTTTTATGACACTTTCTTCCACGCGTAAGCCAGACTCAGTAGTCAGTAGTACCGAATTCATCAAAGCAAGAACATCAACAATGACCAATAGCCCACCAGCCATCAGAAATCTCGGACAGAATATGGCAAAGAGCATCAGATGACGGCGGAGGATACACGCCCACAATGCCGCAAAAACAGCCCAGACAGTGTATATAGTGCTATGAATGGCCAGGAAGCGTGCTTGGCTCTGATTTTCTCCCGAGTGGAGAAGAGGCACCGCGCATGCTGCCACAATTGGCGCGGCAAATGTATTGACGATTACCAGTAGTGGCGACCATGGATACTGTGTATCTCGGAATGGAATGTAGGCTGATTTCCATTGGATGCTGGATAAGGTGGCGTTGTGACCGGTGCTGAAGAAGTGTAATGTCCCGAGGAGTGCCGCGATGGTGGGTTTGATGGAGCTGTTACTGGGGATGAGATGCCGGAGGCTGATGAGCTGGTAGTAGAGAATTGACAAGGACAGCCCGCCTGTTGGAGTACTTGAGAGAATGCCTGCAAGGAGCATTGCTGTCATGGAGATGAGTGGCCGTTCGAGTGGCCTATGTCTTGGAGTGGTTGTAAACGCAGATGCTAACCCGATAAAGACAATGGCTAGCACCATTCGTGCAACAGTCATGCGCAGAGTTTTGGAGGTGTCATCTGTGAGAAGGTCCGCCAGCCAGCCGTTGTTACTTGCTGTTTCTAGGGTATTGAAGACGGTGGTGAGCAGCAGCGCACTTGGTACGCCGAGTCTGAACCAGAACAGGTTTCCAGCCGCGTGGTCTCGCAGAGCTAGTCGAGTAATGTATAACACAGCCACGGCAGTAATGGCCGGGCTCGATAGCTGCCATACCCAGCTGCTCTCCAGGCGATAGAATGACGTTCTGCAGAATGGCAGTTGCTCTTCGCGACAGGCCCGACTGAGCGAGACGACTCGACCCAGAAGCATGAACATCACCGAGCAAGACGCTTCACGTACACCTTTTGCATGGTTTGACGCGCCAAGAGTGCATAGCCCGAATGTTGAGAGAAAGACCAAAACCACACGGTCCTCCCAGATGGTGTAGGAATTCGAAGCAAATCCGAAGCCGAGCAGTAGAGTGAATATCACAGCCTGCCAGCTCCAAACTCCCCCCTGAAGGCACCTGCGCAAGATAGTCAAACCAGTCTGCCACATATTCCACACAACGCTGCCCAAAGCAGCTCCCAGGATCACTCCATCCGTGAGGGAACCCTGAGCAAAGTCAGTCAAAGCAACATGACCAGCCACAGCAACAACCCCCATCACGATCCCTACTACCATCCCAGACCATTTCCTCAAGCCAGACCTCCCATTCACCTGGGGGCATACCAGGACCACCACACTCAGCAACAGAACCACCAACCCCTCAACCATCTTCAGCGGATCAAACTGAGCCCACATACGCTTATACCCCTCTAGCATCCACCCTTGATATCCCCTCAACCTCTGATAATACTCCCTCAAAGCCTCCTCATCCCCAAAATCCACCTCACCATCATACCATCCATCCCACCCAACCACCCCCTCCCATCCATACGTCTCATACTCGACCGTAAACCTCTGAATCTGCGCCCCAACCAACGCATTAACCTCCACCAAGCGTCTCCAATCCGTCCCCTCCCTCCCAGCAAACGCCTCCTCAATCGGCCGTCCCAGGTTACTAAACGGCACCGGCACGCCCATCAACGACGCCAACGTGCTCACAAAGTCCACCTGCGGGATATCTCTCCCCACAACACCAGTAACGCCATCACCACCATCAACAACCCCCCAAACCTCCCTACTCGAATACAACCACAACGCAGCCCGTACCTCATCCACCCCCTCACCCCCATGATTCCCATTCTCATCCATCCCATGATCCCCCATAACAACCAACAACGTCTCATCATCCACACTCTCCATAACCTCCCTAACAACCCCATCCATCTGAGCCAACTTCTCCCTCATGCTCTCATGCCCCGGCCCAAACCGATGTCCGACGTGATCAACACCCAGGAAATGGGCGATGATCACGTCCCACTTCTCCTTATCTTTACCCTTGAGCAAAGGTACCAAGTGTTCATACACCCCATCATCAACCGTATGTAAATCCTCCACTAGGAACGATTCATACGGCCGTGACAGGGTTGCGTCAAAGTATCCCGGGAAGAGTTTCATCCAGGTATCATCGCCCAACAGGACGAGACGTTTCCCTGCGTCATGGAGTTGAGATATCAGGTTATCTTCTGTGACTGCTGAGCCGGCGAAGTTGGACCCTGCTTCGATGAAGGTGGGTAGAGTGCCGGTCGTGAGGGCTTTCAGGCGCTGGAGGGTGGTGGTGGGTGGGTCGGCGATGAAGGGGTAGAGGAGGGCATTGTGGGGAGTGGTGAGGGCTGTGGTGTGCAGGGTAGTGAGGGCGTTGTGGTATGTTTTGTTGTTGGTGGTGGTAGAGGTGGTGGAGGGGATGGTGAAGTCGTAGCGGAGGGCGTCGATGAGGAGGATGATGGCTTTGGTGAAGGTGGGGGGTGTCCAGCAGGTTGTAGTAGTGTTGGTGGTGGTGATGGGAATGGGAGGATGGGAGCAATTGCTTTTCAAGTCGAGGGTTTGACGTGTGAGGAGGAAGCCTTTGGTGAAGAGGTATAGGCCTGTGGTGTGGAGGAGGCTGGATGCTGTTAATTAGTCAATTGAGCTGGGGATGTAGTGATGGTAGGGTAGTATACATACAGAATGTAGAGGAAGAAGAGTGGGTGATGCCATCTGCTGGTGGTGGTGGTGGTGGTGGTGGTAGTTGATGGGCCCATGCTGCGCTGGTATAGATGCTGCAGTGCGTATCAATCAGACTATACTATCTATCGTATTGGCTATCGACAGCGCACACAGATGATGATCATCACATTCTTCTTCATTTAGCAGAAGCAAAATCAACAACCAGGCAGCTCTATTTGCAATCCACAGGCAATAGTCTCCTTAAGTTTTTGTGGCACGAACTTTCCCCTGTGTAACCATCACACAGCAGTCAAATTCACTTCAACCTCATTCAAAACAAAGTAACTAGATACTGTATACAGATCGATACTACTCTCCCAGACAGAAATGGAAATAAACCGTCACGTACCAATACACACCACTTCCGTATTTCGATACCAAAACCCTTACTATTGTATACAACATACATACTTACTTACATAACCAAGCAACTAACTGGTTAACTAACTAACTAACCTACTGCAGTCTAACCAACCAACTAAAGTAACTAGGTTACTAATTCTCCGCCGCCAACCGACCTCCAAGCGAAGTGGATAAGTAACAACTTACAGTAATAGATAAGTAGCTAGCCTGAGGCTACGCTACTGCTTGCTGCTGATCAATTTCGCTCGTATTGGGGGACAATCTTAGCCCGATGCGGGAAGCATTAGCGAGGACAAATATGGTTGGTCGGTGAAGGGGGAGAAGATCGTAATCAATCAACCTAGGTACATGTTTGTAAACTAAATCGAGATGACAGCTTAGTTACTAAGTTACTTACTTTACGTGTGACAAGTAAAAATTACTGTAGTAGTAAGTTAGGTAGCTTGGGGGCGTTTACCTGGTTGACTTAATCTAGGTTGATGGTAATGAGAAGAGCTTGTTTTTGACTTTTTGGGGGGAAGCTTTGAAAGCTACCTATTATGGGGTAGTTACTTTCCGTGGGTCGGATGGGGGTGGGATGAGATGGGGATGGCGGAGGGTTATGCTTAATGGGTGTATGGTGTGGTCTGTGTAATTGTTCTGGAGTTCTTTTGGGGAATAGTTGATAAATGCCGGGTTATAGTGGGAGGGATTATTACAGTGAGCAAAGTTTGGTGACTAAAGCAGCTGTGATTTTATTCCCATGCATGTTCATTGATTGGTTCCTTGTATATACCCATACCCATATCCATTCTATGATAATCCTATACATACCCTCCTCTCTCTCTGTCTCTTCATATATTCTTATATACCAATATTATACCCCAAAGAAGGAGAAGAAAATTGTTTACCAACTCGTAACCCCCCTCTCCCTATCAAACCCACCCCTCAACTGCTCCCCAGGCTTAACCACCTTCCCCTGCAACACCGTATACCGCACAATATTCTCACAATCCTGGGGCCTCACCCTCGCAAGCCAGATACCCTGCGCTGCACCCTCTTCCTCCTCAGTCCCCTCCGTCTTCTTATACCACTCGAAGTCCCGTCTGCGATAAATAATCACGTTGGCCGCATACTTATGTCCACCCACATGGTTGATAAAGTAGATTCCCACACCCCCAGGCCTCTCATCATCCATATCCCGATACAAGCCTAAATGGCGCAAATGGCGCTCGAATTCCTTGCGGAGAAGCGGCGCGGACTGTCCGCAGCGGGCGTCGCGGGTGCGGTGGGAGCAGAGCAGGATAACGGCGGAGTGAGGGGAAGGGCGGGAGCGGAGGGAGGTGAGGGATTGGATGTCGGTGATGTTCTCTTCTTGTTGTTGTTCTTCAGTCGAGGGCTGCTCTTGTTGTTGTTGTTCACTCTCATCATTGCTGTTTCCACCAACCAACGGGGTCGTAGTCGTCGGCGAGCGATTCACAAAATACTTAATCAAATCCGGCGCCAGCTGCGGCGTGACATGATCGACGATAGTAAACCTGGGCAGAAGCAACACAGTCGTAGGCTGTTTTCCCGCATCATGATAATGATATTCATCCGGGACGGGCATATTGGAGGCGGACAATTTCAGTTTCTAGACATAGTCACCCCACACCGATTAGCTTCGCGCAGCCAGGACAAAACAAACTGCAACGGTGGCAGTGAGATCATACCCCATTACTAGGCACCAACCCCCCCTTCTCAATCGCCTCCATCACACTCCCCTCTTCATCCGCAACATCCCTCACCCAATCCGCCTTCCCAGTCGCAACCAGCACATGCGTCGACCAGCCATTAATATTCCCGTACATGGTATCTTCCTGATCGACATCGAATTTGGCGGGGTATTTCACCGTGCAGGACGCACAGTCGTGTAGACATTCTTCGCCGTCGATGGCGGGGTCGGTCTTGGGAAACAGGGTATCGACCGATGGCGTAGCATCATCATCATTCTCCTCCTGGGGTTTGGGACTGTCTTTGGGACTCCTGTCCTGCGGGGTTGCCGAGGGGGTCGGGGTGAAGAATGAGCGGCCTCGTTGGAGGATGGATTGCATTGTGAATATAGTAGTGTAGCAAGGGGGGTTAGAAAGGGAAAGGAGGGAAGTAAGTTGAATAGGAGCAGAGGGGGGGGAATAAGGTAATATCTTTTCTTTCATTCGGACTTTTGGGAACCGCCAGATCTTATCAATCGCCGCGCGCGCCTTGCCAAGGACGGAAAGCCACGCCGACACGGATTTGATGCGGCTTGTGGTCGGTTGCTGCCGGACCTCCGATTGGCTTACGTCACGGCGGCAGCAACTCTTTGCCGAGTTCTGAAAGTGGGGGGAAGTTCTTTTTTGGGCGTTGGGGAAACACAGCGAGCCCAGGGCAGGTGGATATATGGGTAATTAAGGCCAATAGGAGACGCTGTGTAACTAATAGTGGCATATTGCGAATCAAAGGGAGAAATCGCATCTTCAATCGTGTAATTATCCAGAATGGTTTTGGGTTTTCCTTCAATTCTTATCTAATATCTATGTTTGAGGTCTACCGTCGACGCGGCTGCTGCTGCCAACGTTATAAGCGTACGGTAAATCCGTCGGACTCCGAGTCTCGACCAGGCGAATCACGCTCCCTCCAGAGCTACCAGATACATTCGATTGCACTCGTCGAAGCGACCGCATCGATGGCGTCCGAGGAGGCGCCAGGGTTCGCTGCGCCTCCGAGCGTCTCGACCAAACAGGCGACCAGCGACCCTGTCTAGCGCCGTCCCAAGTGGACGCATTCGAAGGCCGCAGACTATTACTCCGGCCACGAGACATGGCTTCACTATCGCCATAGGAATCCACCGTATCGGTTTCACCTTCCTCGTCCGAAGGCCCGATAAGAGACTCGCTCTCAGCCTGGGAACTCCCACCACCCCGCACCTCATCCAAGATCTGGGGATCCAAAACCTTCATTCCCCTCAGGAGCTCCGCAAACACATGCATCAAAGTCCTGAACTCAGCCTCGTGTAGCTCACGCGTTGAAAAGCGCGCCCGCTCATACAGAGCGACAAACTCCATCCCAATTTCCGGCGGATCAACCACATTCAGCGCAGCCAAATGCTGCAAATACCCCCGCAGACCCATCGATATCGGCCGCCGTAATACTTCCACTACCCGCGTGTCAGGAATCGACTCTTCGGTCTCGGGGAATGGCGCGTGAAGCGCCCGCTGGGTGGCCGTGAAGATCGGGTCGGGAGGAGCAAGTGACACTGCCTTGGCCTCGATGAGATGAGGCAGTTCCTGGACTACAGTCCGATAGGGAAGGTCGGGCAGGTCAGGACATGAGGGCGAGGACCATCCGGGGTGCTCGACTTGACCCCAGGGTGGATTGTCGTAGTCCACCAGGAGCGATTCGTAGCCTGAGAAATCATGTCCGTCGGCTGCAATGTCCCTAGGTCGAGCCTGGTAGGCTATGATCGCACTATGCGCCAAACCCTCCTTAACCAGTCGGCGCACACTCTTGCCGACGTCTTCGCGCTCGACGGGGATCCATGCTTTGGGGATGCCGGAGAGGACGGTTCGGTTGGTATATATACGCGTGGTGTAGATTAGGACCGCGAGGATAAAGGTGACAACGTAGCCGCCGGTGATGATGAAGATGTTCGTGAGGCGCTGCGTAATGTAGCACTGGTAGATCGCATCGGCGGGAGTCAGGATGATGCAGAGGAACAGGACCAAGGAGAGGAAGGTGAAGACAGTTAGGTTCAGGACGCGCTGAACGTTGATGGCCATAACCGCGAGCACGTCATATTGCGCCGCAGTACCGGCTGCTCTCAGGTGCAAGCAACTGGCCGGTGGAAGAAATACTGAGTAGCTGGAATTAAGGGGATGTCCATTGCGACCGTGAGATGAGCTGGGTGTCACGTGGTTAATGTGGGCGCGATCGGCATTTGTCTTCCTGTACGGATACTGTCTCGGAACAAGCCATCCCTACCATATCTACAATGTTTCTGCGATAAATCAATATGGCTTCTCAAAGGTATATATGCCTACGCTTATGCTTCTATTGCTCTACGTGTATTGATGCTAGGAATCACGACCTTTAGTCGTCCTGGACAGCCACCTCGTCCTCCCACTGAGGCTCGAACTGCGCCCGAGCCCGGCGGATGACCCGCTCGATACCGTCCAGACCCATCTTCAGGACATCCATCTTCGGGCCGTAACTCAGACGGACGAAGTGGTGGCAAGGGCTGTCGAACAGGTCTCTTCTGTGAGCGGGGTTCAGGTCGAAGAAGATACCAGGGACCACAATGACCTTCTCGGTCAAGAGGGCGTTGAAGAAGTTCAGTCCGTCGGACAGGTTGGCCTCCTTGGGGAGAGGAGGGTCCAGGGAGGTCAGGTCAAGCCAGATGTAGAAGGTGGCCTGGGGCACCTCGTCGATGCGGAAACCGATCTCACGCAGACGCCCAACAACGAAGTCTCTCTTCTCGCGGAAGTGCACCTGGAGGGCCTTCATCTCTGCACGCACCAGCGACGGCTCGAGCATGGGAACGGCGGCTTCCTGGAAAGGCGCATTGGCACCACCGTCCAGGTAGGAACCAGCAGAGCCCAGGGCGTCGATGAACTCCTTAGGTCCAACAACCCAGGCGATACGCCAACCCGGAAGACGGAAACGCTTGGTCAGACCGTCAATCAGAAGCACATCTGTGAGAGTCAGCATGGCAGGAACAACCTGCACCGGTTCTCGTTTGTTCAGGGAGGGTCAGCGGGCGAACCATCTTTGTTGACATCTTCGACGTTGGTGGCACCACTGATCGTGGTTCCATCACAGTCGGTAGTGTAGTTGTAACCGCCGTAGAATTCATCCAGGATCAGAGTCGCACGATCTCTGCAGATGTCCTGGATCTGAGCAAGCTCGGGGTTGGAGACAAAGTGTCCGGTAGGGTTACGAGGGTTGGAGGTCAGCAACACAGACGTTCCACGAGCGATCTCCTCGGCGATCTTGTCGGGGTGAATTGCGTAGTGGTCGTCTTGGGCGAGGGGAATGGGAATAGGAGCGATCTAGATGCAGAGTTAGCCACCGTATACAACCCCGAGCCCACTGTTCACTGCTGTCATTCCACTAGCAGCACTGATTCGCACTCACGTTCTTGAACAGCGACAACATCTCGGAGTACGCCGAGTAATCAGGGATAGGGAAAGACAAGTACGAGTTTCCCAGGATAGCAGCGATACGGATCAGACCCGCACGACCACCGGGGACAATGCAGACGTTCTCCCAGGTGTACTGACTGGCCTTGCCCTGACGGTAGTGCTCATTGTAGAGGCGAGCGACGGCGGCACGCAGAGGCTTGATACCGGCGGTGGGACCGTATTCACGGGCGGCGGAGGTGATAGGGATGGAAGTCGGGCGAGGGAAACTGCCCTCGATCTCATCATCGGCTTCAGGGGCACCCTGGCCTAGGTTGGCCCAGGAGTGAGGATCCTCAGCATAACCATGTTCGGTGGCACGCTCGGTACACCAGACAACACCGGTGGAGGCACGGGAGGCATCGAGACCGGCATGGGGACGGTGACCTTCGTGGGCGCTACGGAACTGACGGTGGGTTTCGGAACGGAGTTCTGCATGACAGGAAGTGATGTTAGTTGGAATGCATGTAATAGTCCTCGACTAGTAGCTTGTGTTGTTGAAGGAAACGGAGGATTATGTGCCCCTCATGCACAAGGCTGAGCAGCATTGCTGCATGCAGTGGGAGCATATATAGAAGGAAGAATGCAGGGAACATGACTTCTTCAAATGAAGAAAGAAAAAGAATAAAAGGAAGACATATGTATAAATGAACAACGTACCATTCTCAGACAACTCCTTACCGACCGAGAAGCGGCGGTTGGAGGGGCGCAGGATGCTCAAGCGGCGGCCGGAGAAAGACATGCTGGGCTGCTTTTGCCAAGTCGCAGATTCTGGGGAAGAACGCAATCTAGTGTATGCAAGCTATCGGAGTTCCCTGGACCTGAAGGGGGTAAGAAAAGGATTAATTAAGCAAGAATTGGGGATTTCTTTAAAATGGTACGAATAGACAACAGGAGAAGAAAAAAAAATATAGGCAAGTAGTAGAGGCAAAGATAGAACTTACTCTCCAAAAGAACAAGAGTTGGAGAACAGAAAATTAAGAGGGGAGAGAGAGAGGAGAGGATATATCAATAAATAAGAATGAAGAAGAAGATAGTCAGACAGACCAGTTAATAAAATAAAAAGGGAAATAAAAGAAAATGACCATGGAAGAAAAAAAAGGTACAAGTAATTTTTTCTCTTGTCAAGGCGTTAAGGATGGATGGCTCCCTCCAACTCATTGCTTTGCCTTGTTGGTCTTGCTTTTCTCCAACTTTTCCTTTCCGCCCAATCTACTCACTCACTCTACGGCATATCGACCCAGACCCAGACTCAGACAGACAAACTACTACAAGGTACCAAACCAAACCACCCACCATTCTCCTTTTTCCTAACTCCTCTCATCTGCGACAAATAATAATAATACCACCTACTAGTAGTTTCAGCCCGCAGGCACCAGTCAACTTTCTTGACAAAATTAGAAGGAAGGAAGAAGCAGAATAATCGCGCAACTGCCGCCTCTTCCAGGGAAAGCAAAGCGGAAAAAAGCAGCCTTACAACCACAACCATAAAATGCCTCACAACTAAACTGACTAGTAGTTTCGAGGGTTTCGCGGTCAAATGAACTGCCACACACACACACACCGCATACGTGACGAATCGTCGAACCCAGTTTCGATAAGTTTTGACCCAACCGTCTCGTCCAGACCGCAATCATTTTCCCGTGGCTCAGTCCCGATCGACGGGCTCCAAGTGGACTCTTCTTTCGGCTGGGATCCGACACCGGCTCCAATGAATCAATGATCCCAAATCATCTGCCATCATTATTCCTTCCGAGACCATACAAACTTACATAGTAGTGTAGTAGTAAGTAAGTAGTATCGATTTCCGGCCCCAGTAGCAAATGACGAGTGGCGGTGGCTGCTGCCCGCCCCCCTTATTCCCTTATCCCCTATCGATCTTCTTGTCTACCTATCTA